GTCCAGAGGTGAGATGGGAAGGCAGAGAGAGTTAGGAACTGGTTGACTGTTCATGGGGAATCAGGGGTGGAAGGGAGTAGTGTGCTGTCGCAGAATGGGGTGAGTGGTTAGGGTCTTCTAACAAGGTATATAAAAAAAAAATTTGTATGGGAGATTAACTTGAAATGTAAACTTCATTTAATTACAACAATAATGATAATAAGTCTTTAAAACTGAAATTTTAAAGCTCAACAAACATTTGGTGAGCACCTACTGTGTGCTAGATGCCATGCTGGGTGCCAGCATAGTAAGAGAGATGACAAGAAAATCAGTATTGCAGTACCTTACAATATGCACTACAAAAGAAATATATAGAGGATAGAAGCCGGAGAAAACCTGTAATCTGCCATCAAGATTTCTTATCACAATTCTTTTTTTCATTCTGCTTCTTTTCCTTAGGGTTGTAGTCGATTGTTAGTCACAGTGGATCTAAACCTCACTAATGCGGAGTTTATCCAATTTTACTTCATGTATGGATGCCTGATTACACCAAACAACCGTAACCAAGGTGTTCTCTTAGAATATTCTGTCAATGGAGGCATTACCTGGAACCTACTCATGGAAATTTTCTATGACCAGTACAGTAAACCTGGGTTTGTATTCCATTTTATTTCTAATAGCCAGTATATTTAGCAAAAATGCTTGTAAGGCCTGGCAGCTGTCAACCACAGGGGACTGCAGGTATGCTTTCTTGATGGTAGGACACCCCTGGGACTGACTTGAAGGTAAGTTTTCTGAGCTGGATTCAATACCTGGTTTTAGTTTTTATTTAAAGAGCAGCTGGTTTTTTGAATTCCAGAATAAGCTATCCCAGAGTGATTTGCAATCATTGTGCTGATGCTGGATAGATTCAGTGCAAAAACCAATATAAATTAATGATAAAAGTTCATTTCTTTCAACATTTTAGAAAAACTGGGAACAGTAAAACAAAGTTTTGTGTGTGTGTGTTCGCTCCATTACAGAGACTTTTGGACTAGGAAATTAAGAAACACAGTAAAATGTAAATATTCTTAAGAAACCTAAAACCCATTGCTGTCGAGTCAGTTCCGACACCTGG